TGGTAATTTTTGTGATCTGAAATCTATTCACCTTTTGAATTACATCTCTTAGTACTTCTCCTGCCAAAGTACTGAACTATTACTTCCCTAAATAGGCCAGCTCCTTCAGCATCTTCATGTCTTTATAGAAGCTAGTTTTTCTGCAAGAAATGATTAATTATACCTGGCACACTCCTATTCATCCTATAAAGGCCAGCTTAAATATTAACTCTCCAATGACATTTTTCTTGACTCTTGGTTAGTTGCTTCTTCCTCCATTCCCTGATAATTTAAAATATTTTATTTCCTATTTCCATATAGTCTCCCAATTAAAATGAGCTTTTCAGAGATGACTGTGTCTTGTTCACACACATTCAGTACCTGTTTCATGCCTAGCAGATGCTCAGGAAATGTTTGTTGGACATATAGTGGGGGTGACGGGTAGGGGAGAGCAAGCAGCCAAGTGACATAATGCTGCAGTGAGCCATAAATTTTCTGTAGCCATGCAGAAAGCCCTATACCTCTATATTCCTTAATTTCACATTCTGGAAAAGGTGGGTTTTAAATATTGGTTACTAAGGTCACTCCTACTTTCAAAAATCTGACTTGTAGAGAGATCTTCTGAAATGGTAAGTTAAGGAGCTCCAAAAATCCATTCCATAAAGGCACTGAGAACATGAGCAAAAATAATCAAAATCAACATTCCAGAATGCTGAAAATTAAACGAAGTCACACAACAACCTAAGCATTTGTTTTAAAAAAAGAAGAGCTACTCTCAGCAAGAACAGGGAGCTCTGTTTTAACTTGCCGTATGCCAGTTCTCCTCTCCCCAGCTCTCAAGTATCCTTAAAAGCAACAGTCTCACAATTTTGGTACCTGTGAATAACAATGATCAAGCAGCCACTGGAGGGAGCAGAATGGGTTTAAAGCACCCCAAAGGCCCCCATTCCCAGAAAGTTATCATTATATGACCTCTCTGGCAGTTCCTTGAAAAGCCCCATTCTCAGAACTTGTCTTTATTTTACCTTACTAAACACTCATTCTGTGCGAACCACACTACGGGACATTTGTTAAAAAAAAAAAAAAAAAAAGTCAGTGACAATTGTGCAACATTACAGTAAGCCAAGGTAGCAATACAAGTTGGAGCTAACAGAGGATTAAAAGGATACACTGGGAATAGAGATGCCCACCGGGGCTTCTAACACTCTAACATATGCCTAGGAATCTAGAAGACCATGCACACGTGAGGGCTACATGCCTGCCCAGGCAAAGGCCTGGAAAGACCCTAATCTCTCACCTCTGACTGACTGTGGGGGTCTGTGTAAGCAAGAAACTTAGGTTACGATAGAATTGTAAACTACCTGCTGGTGTGTTAAAGGTATAACCCAAAACACACGTAGAGCCCTTTGGGAAAGGCTGAGAGACTTATTTCAAAACATTTAAGGAAATCTCTGGCCCAAATTAGCTGAACACTTTGCTTAAAAAGCACAGAATTCAGTGGCTGCACATAATGAAGAATGGAATTTTTACAGAATTAGTTCAAGTCTCTAAACGAAAGGCAACAACAGGAACAATAATAAACCATGGGGTGGGGTCTGATTTCCAGAGTTTCCAAATATTATTTACAATGCCAAATTTCCAATAAAAAATTATGAATCATGTGAAGAAACAGAAAACAATGGCTCATAGACAGGATGAAAAGAAGTTACTGGAAACAGTCCCTAAAGAAGCCCAGGCATTGGATTTACTAGACAAAAGCTTTACGTATGTTCAATGAGCCTGAAGAATTAATTATTAGCTAAAGAATTAAGTTAAATATGAGAATGATTTTCCACTGAATAGAATATCACAATAAGGAGTTAGAAATAAAAAACAGCAACTAACTAGAAATTCTAGATTTGAAAAGTACAGTAAGTACAAGATATCACAATAAGGAGCTAGAAATAATTTTTAAAAACTAACTAGAAATTCTATATTTGGAAAGTACACTAACTGAAATAAAAAATTCACTAGAGGAACTCAGCAGCACATTTGAGATACACTTGAAGATAAATCAATGAGATGATCTATTCTGAGGAACAGAATCAAAAGAGAATGAAGAAAAATGGGCAGAGACTTGGAGACATGTGAGACACCAAGTATAAACAGGTGCATAATGAGAGTACCAGAGAAAAGGATAGAAAGGGGAAGAAAGTATGTTTCAAGAAATAATAGCCAAAAATTTCCCAAGTTTAATGAAAAGCATTAGTCTGCAGATCCAAACTCAACTGCAAATAGAATAAATTTGAAGAAGTCCACACCTAGATCCACAATTGACCATCTTTGATAGTCAAGCTGTCAAAAGCCAAAGACAATGAGAGAAGCTTGAAAGTTCCATATCCCCTGGAACTTCAGAGGAATGTGAATTGTGTACATTCAAGCTAGATATCTAGAACAAAGCTGTATCCCACCTAATTATATAGGAATCTGGGAAGCACAGTTTTGGTTTTCTCTTTTTTTCCTGGATAATAATGTAACAAGCTAAAATATGGGATTCTATCACTAAAGTAAGAGGGGTAGAATGGATATTCAGGAATAAATAGCAGTCTCTAAAATTATATTACCCAGGAATGTCTTGGGTTTTTTGTTTTTAAACAGTCTCACTCTATCATCCAGGCTGGAGTGCAGTGGCATAATCTCAGCTCACTGCAACCTCTGCCTCCCAAGTTCAGGTGATTCTTGTGCCTCAGCCTCCCAAGTAGCTGGGACTACAGGCGTGCGCCACCGCACCTGGCTAATTTTTGTATTTTTAGTAGAGATGAGGGTTTGCCATGTTGGCTAGGCTGGTCTCGAACTCCTGACCTCAAGTGACCTGCCTGCCTCGGCCTCCCAAAGTGCTGGAATTACAGGTGTAGCCACCACACCCGGCCCCAGAAATGTTTTGATTCCATGTTAATGCAAGATGTCTAGGTTCCAGAGGTGAAATTGGAGACATAAAAAGATATATTCCCAAATCATTTAATGTATCTTTTCATTCCCCCCCAAAAAAAGGAAAAACAAAATTAGAAAAATGCAATTACTTTTTCTTTACCAACCTAAATATTTTCAGTCCTCTATTTAATGCAGCAAATAAACATGCATTTATGCCCACTAAAAACCCATCAAAATCAACAGACACAGAAGAATAAAGTTTATTTACTTAAATCATTTCACAACTATTATATTGATAATGGACAATCATTTATTTAAAATAATATCCTAAATACTTACAAAAATAAATCAAATATTGGTTCTATTTTTCAAGTGTCAAAGTCTTTGCCATAGAAAATAGAAAGGACCTTTTATAAACTAAACATTACATTTGTGCTACATCATTTAATAACTCCACACTATTTTCTTTCATGGTTTGTGCTTTACAAATTTCCAAACTACTTCTTCACAATGTACAGGTGCACAATAAGAATGTATGCATACATTCATATGCACACATTTTTACATAGGAATGTTTTTCATTAAATACACATTTAGAGAACCTAACACAGACACTACTGTGGCCTAAAAGTCACCCCCAAGCCCCATGGTCAGATGTGCCCCTAGAAAGAAATAGGTATAGATGTGAAAGCATTATCTAACATTCAAATTAGCACTCTAATTATCAGAAATGATGACATAATGAGGAATACTCACTTTAATATTTCTAAAAAAGACATCATTAATCTATACTAAATCATTTGACAGCCTTATTCATTGAAAAAATAAACTTCAAATTTTTTTCAATACATAAGTTAATCTCAACATAGACATCAATGCCATATGTACACACCCTTAGCCTTAAAAAGAAAAGGAATTTTAATGTTAAAGCAAGTGCTCAACATTGAAGATCATTTTCAAATTGGTCTGTGGTTTTACTTTATAATCACTAGGACATTTAATTCCTTATCAAATACACAAATGCTGAATATCTCTTTATTGGTAGATGTACTCAAGCCTCCCTTACAACACAGATGTGTATAAATCATGGTTCATGATGAAATGTTTATAATGCTTTACCACCCACAGGGTGTCAACTCACTACATTAATCAGATGTGGAAAAGAATCTCACTTCTGATCAGTTCCTGAATTTCTATATAAGTAATCACAATAATACAGAACTTTAAATTACATTAGTCTTATATAAATACTTACATATCAAACATTTTAAATTCTACTTATCAACTAGAAAAGTGATAAATCAGAAAATTGGCTTTTCCTCTATTAAGAAAAATGAATCTAGCCTTATGTCCTTATCCAGAAATTGCATGATTTAGAAATTCCAAGTATAATGATCTGATCTGTGAAAACACTAATTTATTAAAGTTAATGTTTTACAATAAATTCCATTAAAACGGAGCTTGAAGGGTTTGTAAAATCTCAATCATAAGCAAGTAGAAACACCAAAGGGGCAGATGTCTTCACTGACTAAAATATGTCAAAATGCCATAATATTTAGAAAATGTTAAATACCATGCTAAAATATTTTCAAAGGCTTATTTTATTTTACCAGAAGTTCACAGGCAAGCAGATACTACAATAATATATGAAAATGAAACTCAACAATATAACTGTATCAAAATCTAGGAGGTAGTCAACAGAAGTAACCCTGATAGAACAAAATATCCTGACAGGTGCTCCCTAATCTCGGAGATGCAAATGCAGTATGAAATTCTTGTATTTTCAGTAAAAAGTTACCAGGCAAAAATCTAAAAACCAGATATCTAAAAAATAATAACACTGTAAATGGAACAATACTCACACTGTATTTGCAAAGAAAGGCTATGAATAAAATTTAGACCACAGCTCTACAGCATGCAAGCCAAATCTGGCCTACCACCTGTCTTTGTAAATAAAGTTTTACTGAAACACAACCATGCCCATTTTGTTTATATATTGTATATGGCTGCTTTAACTCTATAATGGCAGAGTTGAGTACCTGCAACAAAGCTCATGTAGTCCACAAAGCCTAAGACATTTACTAAAATATTTGCTCTTTGTCCATTCACAGAAAGTTTGCTGATCCCGCTCTAGACACACTGCTGAGAGGTATGTACGCTGAACAGCACTGAAATGATTAACTACGGTTGTCACAGCATAAGGTATTCAACTGTATGGAATGTAAGGTGCTAATTATGTCACAATTCAGTTCCTTTTTATATCCGAAATAGTCCTAATATTTTTCTTCTTTTTGTGGTCTAACATCTAATATCAAATAGTATTTCCAAGTTACTTTAAAAAGACTTACTATGGTGCTATCCACTAGAACTTTCTGCAATGATGGAAATATTCTATAGCTGCCCTGTCCAGTGTGGTACCCACTAGCCACATGTGGCTATTGAACATCTGAAATGTGGCTGGTGCAACCAAGAAACTGAGTTTATGATTAATTAAATTTAAATTGTCATATATGGCTCATGGCTATGATATAGGACAGCACATATTTAACACAACTAAAATTCTTAAGTGCTAACTTTTAAAAATGACCCCAAAAGTTCAAAAGTAATGCCTTTGAAAATAAGAGCTTTGAGCAGAAACAAACTGAATACCACAAACTGAGCCCAAGATAAACTCCTTAATAAGTAAACAAAATCAAACTGACCCCACCTTGTTTCATCACTGCAACATCCCTTTTCAATGAAGCAAAATTATTACATGATACAATTTTTCAGCAGAAGCTAAATATAATTTTATGCTTAAAAGCAGTAACTGAAATCTTCATTAATTACCTTAAAAAGTATATAGACATTTCACAAAAAGTATATATATATTTTGCTTGCTTTCCATCAGAAAGTTGCCTATTACAAATGTCAGTTTATTTCTTATGCTTAACATTTTAAACATGATGTCCAGAAGCCCTTATTTGCCATAGGTACAAATTAGAACTATGAGATTTTCAGAATATGTAAAATTTCCAATTAATCAATTTTATTATTCCAAAGTCATTCTAATTGTCAAATCTTCCAAATGTTATATCTTCCATGACATGACAAGGTAGAGGTACACATTCAATGGAAGAATTAGGGGACAGAAGTAAAGCCTTGTATATACTAACTCAAATCAGCCTTGCATAGTTCTCCATGTGCCTGCCTCGACTGTTTTTATATAAATCAACAAAAAACAAAAAAAATTAAACAAATCTAGATAATGTTTTAAGATTAAGTATTACTGAATAACTATTGAAAATTAATTAAGTTACTAGTACAACTGAAAACATTTAACTAAAATACACAAGGCCAATTTGAAATTGTAATACACTCAAAAGACAAATGTTTGTTTGAAATGTGTGTATAATTACATCCCCAATTATTCAAATGTGCTCCCGCAGAGAGATGGCTAATTATATACTTTGTTTTTGAAGTCAACTGGCAAAATTAATTTGATGCATGTTGATTTTAAAATACCTGATATCCAGCATCATAAACCTTCTTTATCAATCTGGTACTTAGTTGAAAGGTACAAAATATTTTAAGGACACTTCTATTTTATGTTTTTTGTTTTTTTTTTTTAGTTTAATCAGATGTTGTAGCAGGGACTTTAACAGAGAGATTTCTTCTGGTGTTGGTGATGTGCCGTTGCTGTGCTAAGAAAGACCGTGCAGGAGTACATGCATTAGTGTCATTGCAGGCACCACCGCCGCTCACAAGTCTAGATTCCATCCCCAGTTTCTGGAATGCTAGACTCTGAAAAATAAAAAAAACCATATATTTTTTATTTAACATGACTAAACAGTTTGCCAAGTGCTTCTCACAAAGGCATTTAATCCTTAAAACCAACCTATAAAGCTAAGGCTTTCCTCATTTTTATAGAAAATAAGGGCTCAGAACACCAAACTGGCGTGATCTTAAGGCTACTGCCCCCCCATATCTAGAGAAAAAAGTAACAACAGCCTAGTAAACAAAACAGAGCTGCACCTGTGAGGGAGTCAAAACTAAGGAGAAAGAGGACATAGTCAAAAATACCGTGGAAAAATCTTTTTAAGTTGCCTATAAATTTAATAC